TTACTATCTAGTTAATATACTCGCTAATTCCTAACTCTCTAGGCTAGACTAGCCCTCTCTAGCGGCTTACTAAAAAGGACCTAAAGGGGCTATAGATCGTTATAAGTAACATAAACCTTTACTACTTATTCTAGGATAGAGCTAGTAGGACTACCCCTAAATTAGAGACCCTTCTTTATCTAGCCTATAAGTAGTAACTCTTACTACATATACCCTAAGAAGAGCTAACCTAGAAGAGACATAGTAAACAAGACTTAACGATTAATTACGCGTAGGCTATAGTAACGCTCTAGTATACTTACTAAGGTAACCTAGGGTATAAGGGATCTAACTACTATACCTAGCTAATTAAGGTTATTACCTAAGTAAGGGATTACTATAAGAGAGCCGTAAAGGTACTAGGATAGAGCTAGACCCTAATAGACCGAGAGCTAGTAGCGATTAAGGCTAGAAGGCTCTACCTCTTCTCTAAGCCACTAGACATACCTTATAAGGTTAATAAGGCCGTTAACTTACTTACCTCTTAGCTTGTACGTATCGTAGACTTATCTACCCTAAGAAAGAAGGTTAGCTAAGGGCGTACTAAACCCTAGTAGAGTAGTAAGGTCCTTAAGGCCGTCTAGTAAACGCGGGTAGCGCGCTATTAATATACTACTGCCTTAACTAAACTTTACTAGCGCGACCTCTAGTAGGCTAGTACCTACTAACTCTAGACGATCTAAGATACAAAGACTAAGAGCTAGTATAGCGCCCTTACTACTACCTTAAAAGACTAACAAAAACTCTAGAGTCTTAAAAGGTAGGCTAGGCTTTATAGTTACGTACCCTTAGAACTAGCCTTACTCCCTCTTCTTTAAGGCACTAATAAGAAAGTACTAGCTATAAGCTACTATAATAAAGTAATAGTGTTAGGCTAGCGGTTCTTTCTAGAATTAGTAGCCGATCTTAGTAACGTTATTCTAGACCTTTAGGACAAGTAGTACTAGCGGTTTACTATTAACGACACTATAATAAAGGCAGACATTACTAACGTTCTCTAAAAGACAAGTACCTAAAAGGCGCTAGGACCTAACCTACTACTTACCGGCTTCCTTAAGGCATATAGGCGCCCTTTAGCTAAGCTTCTTATAGTAGTAGTAACTATAAGCCTCTAGCTAGGGCACGTCCTAATGTAGTTTAAAGTAGTAAAGGTAGTAGTACTACGTAAGCCTAGAAAGACCCTTAAACAGTAACAAACCGCTAGGGCCTATAGGCTAATATTACTCTTAAGCGTAATAGGTAAAGTAATTAAGTTAGTAATTAGCTAGTACTTTACTAACACTATAGAGTTGTAAGGGCTCTTCCTAGAAATACAGATAAGAAACCGGCTATAACGCTTAATAGACCTTATAGTTAAAATAGTAGTTAATACTATATATATAGCGTAGAGCTATAGGGCTATAGCGTCCCTTTTCTAACTAGACATTAAAGGCGCCTTTAATATAGTAAACTATACACGCCTTCTCTATACTCTCTAATACCTAGGGTTTCTTATATAGGCCGTATAGTAAGTATATAGCTTTCTTACTAATTAGATAGCTAGTCTCTTCTTTAATAAGGAGGTAGCGCCGCCCTAGGAAGTCACTATAAGGGTACTATAAGGCTCGCCCTTCTCTCTTATCCTCTTTCTCCTCTATACTACTAGCTTATATACGTTACTATAAAGATATATAGGCCTTATTATAGTACGGTTTACTAACGACCTTAATCTTTTAGCTTTTAGTAGAGACACGATAGAGACACGCTAGTACCTTAAAGGGGCGTAGTAGACATGTAACTAGTAGTCGCGTATAAGGGGGATAGAGTTTGCCCTTAAAAAGAGTAAGTTCTTTTACCTTACCTATACTTACACTATACTAATAACGCTTATCTACCTTAACGGCTAGGTTATACCCCTAGTCTAAGAGGCCTACTTTCTAGGAGTTTAGATAGATTAGAAGCTTAGGTAGAAGGGCTACCTTAACGCTATTAAACAAAAGTTTACTACCTAGTAGTTTACGCTTATAAGGCTTACCGCGTCTACGTAGAGATGTAGCCTACTACGCGTAAGGGAGATCTATACAAAGGTAATCTAAAGTACTATAGTATATAGCGTAGGGGTCTAGTACCGCCCCTTTAGGTAACAAGCTAAGGAGATCGTAAAAGACCTTACTATAAAGTAGTTATAGTACCTTTACGTTATCGTAAAGGCGTACTAGGCGACTCTTGTTTAGTTTCTTAAGTCTAAAATAGCTACGCCTCTACTCGACCTTTACCTTAACAAGAGGGTAGTAGACTTTAAATAACGTCTAGAACGTATAAGTAAGGGCAAACTTATATAGTCTATCTATAATAGAGTAGCGACCTGCCTTTAACAACACTAGAGACGCTACTATAACGCTACTATAGCGCTACTCTATACGTTACTCGAGTATAAGGCGGGCTAAGCCGTGTAGGCAAAGGACTAGTACAGGGACTCCTTACTAGAAAAGACCTTATAAGAGAACTAGAGGACACGATAGACCTAATACAATAGTTTGCTAGTGTACTACTAGGGTACTGTCTCGGCCGCGCTACCCGCCCTTTTAGTAGATGCCCTTAAGAAGTACTTACTCTTCTATAAGTATAAGAGCTTACTTTTAACGTAGATCTGTACTAGTAAGGTTAGGCTCTAGGCCTTCCTTTTTAAACGTAGAGTACTAGAGGTAGCGACCTCCTAGTGTCCTTATAGTAAGGCCCTAGAGACAGTAGCTTACCTAGTCCTTAACTACTAGTAGCTCGACTAGTAGCGGCAGGCCTTACGGCAAGTACTCTACCTAAGGGCGCTATAGACGTTCCGCGACTTTGCGGCGGTAATAGAGAGAGGAAAGAGCGCGCGCGTACTAATCTACTAGCTACTATCTACTAGCCGGTTCTTATAGTTTAGGCTAGCCGAGCGCTACCTAGCTAAGGAAGAGGGAGAGTGATCTTAGCTAACGGCCGGCGTCCTTCTAGTGTCCTACTAGCGTCTTGTTAGTATGTTTAGTATTACTAGGCTAGAAGGTTAAGTTCTAGTAGGGTAGCGATAAGGTCCTGGCGCCCTAGCGGCGCTACGACAGAGTATTTACAAGAGGTAGTACGTAGGTTTTTACCTGGCTTTAGTACGGTTTTACTACGTGATTCATGTAGTATAGAGGTTCTGTATACATTAGGCATAGGTAGTAAGAACAATAATAATAATAATAATAGCTTAATTAAGCTTAATTAACTACTTGTCTAGATTAAACTTAATATCGATACCTAAGTAATCCTTAATTACCCCTAATTCTTTAATATTAAAGTACCTTTTGATTTAACTAATAAAGGCATTAATAGTAGATGTTGGATTACAAGGTTATGATAGAACGCCGTATTGCCGGATGGACGCGTAACAGGTAAGTGTGACACGTAACAAGTGAAAAGAGGCGCGTAAGAGGTGTAGTATGGCTGTTAGGCCAACGAGTACCGAATCGAATAGAATTGAATTGAATTGACTTTTCGAACTTAACGACTTAGAGTGTTTTCTAGAGTCCTTATATACATGATTTAAGTTTTCTAGAATACTCTATACTATTCTATAAGCCTCGTAGTCGTAATAGGCTTCTAGACTTAATTAGGCATAGTATAGAATATTCTAGTACATGAATTTGTAAG